TTTGGCTTGGTTTGTTTAGCAGCATATCAACATCCTTATGGGTCATTTAATGCCGAAATTTTATTTTCTTGTGAATATTTTTTTCCAAAAATTTATTACTGGTATTTTTTTTAAAATGAAAATGTATTGCCAGTAATTTTTTCTGATGTATTTTCATATTTTCATGTTTTGACCCCAGTTTGGTTGTTCACTATTTACCCATAGCTGAGACCCTAACAGGTGCTACCACCCTGAGTCAGGATGGACCTGGGAACGACAGTAATTAAAAGATGTTTTCACGCTCCTCATAACCTCCCGATCCGCGGCATTGTTGCTGGATATAGTTTATCGTCATACCCAGGACAACTAACAGGGTGGTAAATGTGGCTCAGCTTTATTGGATAGAACAGGATGACAAAAATCTTTCAAAAACACCGTTTTGGGGGGGGGTTCGGGCACAATGGTTAAACATTATCAAATTATCTAGTAATTACTGTTTCATGTCATTTGGATAGGAAATAGGCGTTGTCAAATAATCTTTATCCATATTTCTTCTTTTTTTTATTACAGCCATCTGTGAAATCCCATGCGTAAATGGAGGTACATGTGTTGAACCAAATCGATGCAACTGCCCCCCTGGTTATACGGGGACGTCTTGCGCTATTAGTAAGTACATACGCAAACTTTGTTATTCTATTAACTTCATGGCACATTCTAAACAATATAAGATACGCGGATGGCACGGTGTTACTGTCCGACTCGGAAAGGAAACTGCAGGATATCCGAGACAGGGTAGTAGAAAAAAGCGAGAAGAAAGGACTATCTATCAACTGCAAGAAGACAGAAAATATGGTCACAAGCAAGAGAAAAAGGTTAAGATGCGAGTTAAGAATTGGAGATGTAAACTAAATAACTCTCTTTCACATTAGATTTTGTTTACACTTATGTTCACCTAATACGAGGCTCGAGAGTAACTCGAGGTAGAGCGTTACTAAATAATGCTATATGAACAGGAAGTAAGAAGAGCAGTTCGTGTTGTTATCGTTGTGGCCTGTTTAGGGGCCAGAAAGAAAAAACACAGAAGACGAAGGTAGGTTGAAAAAGTATATTGAAGATATATACAAAATTATGTTAGTAATAAGTAGATTAGCATTGCGTCTACTACTCCACTCCACTTCACCCTCTCTTCTCATCCGACTCTCGCAGTTTGTATTTATGAGAGGAGGAAGAGTTCATTATACTGTAAGAGGGTTTACCACAACAGTTATGTAGCAGAGATCAAGGTTAAATCTAGAGGTTGAGATTATAGTGATATGGGTAGCATCCTCTCGGGAGTCGGTTCCACAAACTTGCAGTTCTAATGAAGAAGGTAACCAAGTGAAACTTCTTCCTTACTAATGGAATACGAAAGGTCTATTATGTTTTACGGTATATCAACCTCAATCGGTTATTTAAGGTCGACAAGAATTTTACGATAAGTCTGTAAGGAATCAGTTTGTAGAAGGTCATATTTCATTGACGTATTTTTGTAAAGAGGGTTTTTTTTGTCGAGTGTCAGATGTGTTGCTGGTAATTCTTTTTTTATTTTTAGTTTTTTTCAAAAATGGATTAGTATTTTTTTTACTATATGTTATGGGACCTTACCCATAATAACATAATGGACTATTCCATACGTAATAAATACTGCGCCTCAAGAGGAAGCAGGGAGTTCAGTCCGAAGTCGGGCGACCGGCTGATCGGCTGATCGGTTGAACTCTCTGCCTTCGGGCGGGGAGGAACCCGAACGAGGCTACGCCGAAGGGCGGAGTCTCTTTCGGGGAGATAAACCGACCCTGAACCCGTTCAAAGGACATATTTTTGGCCGAGCTCACGGGCTCGGAAATCCCACGTTAAACCGGCTTTGTGCCGCATGATGCCCTCGTGTGGGGGACTAAATACCGTTCAGTCTGAAGTTTGGAGTGAGGTCCGTCAGAAATCCGTCAGTCAGTCAGAGCGAGCGAGTTAGTCAGTCAAGTCAGAGGCAGTCCGAAACAGAGTCGCATTCACACAATTACTACAAGACATTGTAATAGTGATACTGGTCGAGACTACATTGTTCTCTCTACTAACACTTTCTACTTTTCTTCTCTGTATATATTCCTGTTTGTAATATATCTGTGTCATTCCATATCCGTGTTCGAGTTCTTCTTTATTGGTTCTACCTTGGACCATCACCGTGGTACAAGGAACCGGACCATAACACTATAAAAATATATTTTTATACTTTAATAGTGTTTTAACCCCAGTTTGGGGGTCAACTATTTGCCCATAGCTGAGACACTAGCAGGTGCTACCAGACCGGTTCAGGGTGCACCTGGGGACACCAGCAATTAAGAGGTGGTTCCACACTCCTCAAAACTTCCCGATCAGAGGCCTTGCTGCCGGATGTAGTTTATCGTCATACCCAGGACGGAATACGAAAGGAATGAGGATGGTTCAACTTAATGTATCAATGTCACATCCCGTTTTCTGTTGAAAGGGAATTCGACCTAACATCGAATAAATCTATTAGGAAGATTCGATGTTGAATTTGAAATCGAGTTCTTCATCCGTGCCACCTGTAACAGAAGATTTTTGTCTTTTAATTCCAGGTAACCTGATACAACAGAATAAGACAACTATTTTAGAAGAATTTAAAGGTAAATAACCATTTTTTAACGCTGTTTTTATTTATTTATTTATTTTTATTTATTTATTTATTTTTATTTATTTATTTATTTTTTTGAGTTCTAATCGTTTAAAATTTGCTATACAGGCAAATACTGGTCGTCTGTAGTTGATTCAAACTTTCCCGAAATCAGTTTAGAAATTATTCAAACATTTTGATTACCTCGACTTTCTATTTTCTAGTTTCGGGTAGAGCTTATTTTTAGCAAAATATTAGGTTGGTGCAAAAATAATGACGTAATAATGTCGTTTTTTGACGTAACGTCAAAAAACGACATTATTACGTCATTATTTTTGCACCAACCTAATAATTGCAGCACCCAGATCTATCACACACTCATTCTTTATTCCCCCACCTTGTCATTTTCACTTTTTCTAATTCCTGTCTGTCTAATATTATTATATAAGTTTCTCGGTCGGAGAACGTAACTGAATCTCGTTCAGAAGAACCGGGGATTAACATTCTGATACAAAATGGTAGCATATAGTTGTATCTAAGAACAATTGATTCCAGATCAGAAGTTCAAGGGGATCAGGCAGGTACTACACTTTGATCCTTGGTCGAAAAGCGTAAAGATCGCAAATACAATCAAGCAGTATAATTTAATGAATTCTTATCTCGGAAAGCGTGATTTCAACTTTAAATCATTTTTTTCCATTCACTCCAAAATTTTTCTCACTTCCACATCTGTGAATATAATCTGAACTGATTTTATTGGAAGAAAATGCTCTTCTACCAATGGGTTTCGACTAGACGATGTCCATCTTCCTGCACGGAGTTTATGCCCTTCCCACTGGCAATACACTGGCGACATACCTACTTCTGGCTCACTAGAGCTCTCCCTTAGCACATAATGGCCCAATTTCGATTTAAAGAATGCAGCTTTACCTTTCCCAAGGATATTAGCACGTAAGTTGATGCAATGGATTTGACTGGAATTCGAACCTGACCGGAAACCGAGTTCGAATTCCAGTCGAATCCATTACCTTCACTTATATACTAATACCCTTGGGAAAGGTATGAATCCTCTTCTTCTAAATTCATAGGTAAATAGAAGGACAGACCGGATTCTATAGTCTTCGATGGCAACTGGTCTACCGCAGAAAGAAATGGCAACCTACTGCGTGAAAAGTCTGCCTCGTCAGTCATGTATCGAAAGAAAGATGACCGCCTAAGCGTGTATCACGCATGGCACATAACTGACTGAATTTTATGCAAATAAATTATTCTACAATTAGAATAATAATAAGTAACAGTAAGTAATATTTATTTCAAAATCAAATTAATTTAACTTTAAATTTTCTATTAATTAATTAGGGCAAAAATGCATAGAAAGTGCGCTAATTTCTGAGGCTTCCACGGTAAATATCCTTACAGCATGTTGCCTGTCTTAATAAATTCACTGCTTCTTATAATTCTGAGATGAGGTATTGTAATTATTTACACTAATTACATTGTTCGGACTGTTGTCCTCGTCTTTATTGTCATATCCACGACGTTTCGGCTGTTGTACGCTCCGGTCTTATTCAGGATTTGACTATATTTCTGAGATGAGGTATTGTAATTATTTACATTGTTCAGATTGTTATCCTCATCTTTATTGCCATATTCACGACGTTTCGCCCGTTGTACGCTCCGGCCAATTTCAGGTGATTGGAATTTCGAATTGAACCTTTATTTCATCCACCGGGGTAGATTGTTCTAGTTCCACGTGCCATGCTTCTTACGGATATATCAGTTATCTCCCCTTAACTCAACTCTCCAAGATTTTGTTCACCACCAGATATTGAACTCACAAGTCTATGAGTAAAATCATTGGATCCATAAAACGTTGGTTTGATCCATGAATTGACCCAAAGAATTGTGAGTTCAATTCCTGGCTACTGCAGTGGTGAAAGTTAATTTAAAGAGAGACAACTGATAGTGAGACATCCGGAAGAGGCATGACACGTGGAACTAGAACAATCTACCTGGTGGTCGAAATAAAGTGTTCATCACGAAATTTCAATTATCTGAGGAAAGCCGGAGCGTTCAGCGGCCGAAACGTTGTGAATATAGCAATAAAAATGAGTGATCTGCTTCCTTTACTGTTTGTAAATTTTATGTTTCTAAAAATTTTTGGGAGATAATCATGATTTAGCGATACAAATCTTACTAATTAACCCATAGCTGGGAGGGGAAGAAATGGATTCGTATCTTTGCCAAGGGTATTTGCACGTAAGTGAATATAACGAACCCAACAGGAATTGGAACACGGCTCCCCGATTAACAATTCCGAGTCGCTATCCATTACACCATCCGCTCACCCAAACTCACATCACCTGCTACTCCCAAGCGATCACCCATCTAAATACTGACCAGTTTCAACGTTGCTTAACTTCAATGATCGTATGGAAAGTGGTTTCTATGTGATGTGGCCGTAAGCTCATTACACCATCCGCTCATCCAAACTTACAACACCTGGTATTCCCAAGTGATAACCCATCTAGATACTGACCAGTTTAAACATTGCTTAACTTCAATAATCGTACGGAAAAAATGTTTCTATGTAATATAGCCGTAAGCTCATTACATCATCAGCTCACCTAAGCTCACACCACCTGGTATTCCCAAGGGGTTACCTATCTAGATACTGACCTCTTTCAACGTTGCTTAACTTCGTACGAAAAACGATGTTTCTATGTGATATGACCCTAAGCTAATCACAACATCAGCTCATCCAAATTTATATCCCCTGGTTTTCCCAAGTTTAACGTTGCTTAACTTTCGGTGACTATACAGGATACGGTGTTTCACCGTGACAAGATCGTTAGCTTCTTACACCATCAGCATATGGAAGCCTATAAGCGCCAGGTATCCCCAAGAAGTCACCCATTTAGTTACTGACGAGGCTCGACGCTGCTTAACTTCGGTGATCGTACAGGAATTGATGTTTCAACGTGATATGGCCGTAAGCGTATTACAACATAAACCCAGGCAATCCCCCATCTAGATACTAACCAGGCTCTACGTTGCTTAACTTCGGTGATTGTACGAGAAATCTCCGATTAACAATTATCCATTACACCACCCGTACATCCAAGCTTACAGCATCTGGTATTCTCAAGCGGTCACCCATCTAGGTACTGACCAGGCTCGACTTTGCTTAACTTCGGTAATCGTACGAGAAATCGGTTCTCCGATTATCATTTCCGAGCCATTATCCATTACACCACTCGCACATATAAACTTACAGCATCTGGTACTCTCAAGCGGTCACCCATCTAGATACTGAACAGGCTCGACGTTGCTTAACTTTGGTGATCGTACGAGAGATTGGTTTTACGTTTATCCATTACATCACCGTACATCCAAACTTACAGCACCTGGTATTCTCAAGCGGTCACCCATCTAGATACTGACCAGGCTCGACTTTGCTTAACTTCAGTGATCGTTCGGGAACCCTTAACTTCAGTGATCGTTCGGGAACCGAATATTTCAACGTGAGATGGCCATAAGTGCATTAAGCATTAGCACATCCAAGCTTATAGAGGTTGGTAATTTCAAGCAGTCACCCATCTAGATACTGACCAGGCTCGACGTTAACTTAACTTCGATGATTGCATTACAACATTATGACATCCAAGCTTGTAATCCCAAGTAGTCAGTAGGCTCGACATTGATCCGAAGCTATTTTTTGTTTGTTTTTTTTTTAAATTTTTGTCTTTTCAATTGAATTTAATTTTAAATTTTTACCAGCTGAATCAGTTTTCGACGCCGAGGATTACGCCGTTTGTTCGGCCTGGGGAGGACGGCACATCATCACCTTTGATGGGGTTTACTACTATTTCCCCGGTAAAGGCACGTACACTTTATTTCAAGAATGCTTATCGACTGACCCGAATTTCAGAGTGCACATTAATCAAACCTACCAGTGTGACCCACTGCAAACGAAATGCGACATTTCACTGAAGGTAAGTAAGATCAAGACGCGAACAATACTTTTTCTTTTATGTACCGTGTCCTTTCAGGACGTGAACGATCATAGCTCTCCACAACTTCCTGTCTTTTGTTTCCCGAAGTAACTTTTGATCTTTTATATCCAGCTTTTCCCATATTTTGCCGTCGATATGTTTCTATTTATCTTATGCGTCAGATCTTTTCAGGTGGTGGAGATGATAGCTCTCCCCAACTTCCTTGTTTTGTTATCCGAAGTAAAATTTCATCTTTTAGCATCCATCTTTCTCCATGTTTTGCCATCCATAAGCTTCTTCTATTTATTTTATGCGTCAGGTCTCTTCAGGGTGTGACGATGATGGTTCTCCCCAACTTCCTTGTTTAGTTTTGATATTTTAGAATCCATCTTTTCCCATGTTTTTCCATCCATATGCTTCTTCTATTTATTTTATGCATTAGATTTCTTCAGGACGTGGAGATGATGGCTCTCCACAACTTCCTTATTTTGTTTTCCAAACTAACCTTTGATCTTTTGGGGTGAATTGCTTAAAAAAAATAATAATAGTAATCTGAGAGTTGAAAAAAGCGAATGAAATTAAGATTTAAGAAAAGCAAGATGAAAACTGCATTATTTGACAAGGATTTAAGGAGACCAGAGTCAGCCAAAAAAAAAAGTAAAAGAAAAGCAAAAAGAATGAAGGAAAGAAAAAAAAGAAAAAAGTAGTACCGTAATTCCCCATGTATAATACGCATTTTTTCTAAAAGAAATAATAAGCAAAATCAGGGGTGCGTATTATACACAGCTACAAAAAAATCTTTAAAAATTGACGTAAAATAAGAATTATCATAAAACTAAATTAGAATAATATTAGTAGGAAACGCTGGCCGTAATTAAATTGGAGAGGTACATTTGATTATCAAACAAAGGGTTGCGTATTATGCGTGAGTAGAAGCATTTTCCCACACTTTCAGCACAATTTTAGGGGTGCGTATTATGGATAAAGACGTATTAAACATGGGGAATTACGGTAAATTAAATTTTATTCGAAGTCATTTTAAGATCACATGATTTATGACGAACTTTTTCTCCCGCTTTTTCTTTCATTGTAGATAACAAGTTACGACGCCATTATCGAAATTTTGCCCGGAGGAATTGTCTTGCAGAACAAAACAAGAATTAAAATCCCTTATCAAGCGGGGGAGTTAGAACTCAGTCAAATTGCCAACTACACTGTTGTCAAAGGAATGAATGGTAAAAAAAAACTCTTTTTATATTGTCTAAATTTGCTTTTACGACACGTCAATCACTGTTAGATTATTTAATGCTTTGTTCATATCTTATTCGCGTTTATATGCGTTTACTTACTTCAGAGAATCGGTTTTAATGTATGGTGCCACTGATTCGAGATTAACAAATATCTGTTGCATGATTCTGAGATGTTCGATTATAATTAAGTCACCATTTTGGGAATCAATACATTGAATATGAGGTGTGTGATTGTTTTACTGGCTCCGGGAATATTTGTCCCGCAAAAAATATTGGCGGACTCATATGAGTCTGGGTAAAATTCAGGACGGTAAAACTAATTAATACTGCTTATTTAAAAAGCAGAGCGTTTACTTAAATAAATTTTATCTATAAAATCAACGTATAAACAGAAAATATATTAAATAATTGTCGCATTTAATCCATTTCATGATATGTTATCATTGTTTACGTTAAGATACGTTTAGTGATCACATATCGATCGAGAAAACTCGTCGAGGGTGTGTGTTTATAAACAGTAATTTGGACTTTGTTAATAAGACACTTCTCTTTAGCTGAATGGTAGAGCACGTCAGATCAAATGATGTTTTCCGTGTGAGAATACAGGTTCGGGTCTTGTCGGACAACACATATTTTCTACGAAATTTATCGAACATTCAGGCCGGCAAACGTAATTAATACTGTTTAATTAAAAACAGAGCATCTACTTAAATAAATTGTATCTATAAAAATAACAAAAACAAGCAGAAAAATAAATATATATATATATATTTGCTTTTTTGTTAGATGCTGTTCTGCTTTTCGATGGTGCAAACAGCGTTTACACATTCGCATCGCCTCAAATGATGGGTCAACTGTGCGGCCTCTGCGGTCTTTTTGATGGCAACAAGACGAACGAATTCGTAAACTACGTTAAGAAGCCGATAAACAACAAGTACGATTTCAGCAATGTCTGGTTAGACCCCATGGAGTCAAGAGATATCCCCAGTGTCGAAGATGACAAGGCACATCCATGCCTTAAACTCACAAATTCTAACCCTGAAAGGGTCAGTTTATTTCTTGTTCTATTATCTATTCTTCATGTTCTATTATTCTATTCTTTCATGTTCTATTATTCTATTCTTTCTTGTTCTATTATTCTATTATTCTATTATTCTATTCTTTGTTCTATTATTTATTCTATTATTCTATTTTCTTGTTCTATTATTCTATTCTATTTCTATTCTTTTCTATTATTCTATTCTTTCATGTATTCTATATTATTCTATTCTATTCTTGTTCTATTATTATTCTTTCTATTCTATTTTCTTGTTCTATTATTCTATTCTTTCATGTTCTATTATTCTATTCTTTCATGTTCTATTATTCTATTCTTTCGTGTTCTATTATTCTATTCTTTCTTGTTCTATTATTCTATTCTTTCATGTTCTATTATTCTATTCTTTCATGTTCTATTATTCTATTCTTTCTTGTTCTATTATTCTATTCTTTCTTGTTCTATTATTCTATTCTTTCTTGTTCTATTATTCTATTCTTTCATGTTCTATTATTCTATTCTTTCGTGTTCTATTATTCTATTCTTTCTTGTTCTATTATCTATTCTTTCTTGTTCTATTATCTATTCTTTCATGTTCTATTATATATTCTTTCTTGTTCCATTATTCTATTCTTGTTCTATTATTCTCTTTATTCTATATATTCTTTCTTGTTCCATTATTCTATTCTTTCATATTCTATTATTCTATTCTTTTATCCATTGTCACTGCCGATGTACGGCATTTTACGGGTCGATACTTGAATTATTTTTTTCTCTTTTTGTATATAGCAACTTAATTTATACTTACTCCATTAAAGTTTGCATTAAAGTTTTAATTACAAGTTTTTAAAAATGAACACCTCTATTAAAGATGGTTTGATAAAAATGCAGTGTTAACTACAAGCCTTTAAAAATGAACCCTTCTATTAAATATTTGTTTATAAAAATGCACATTATTTACATTATTAGGACTATTGTCCTCATCTTTTTCGCCATATTTATTGCAACGTTTCGGCCGTTGTACAACGGCCGAAACGTTGTGAGAAATATGGTAAATAAATATAAATAATGTACATAATACCTCATCTCAGAAATATAGACAGACTATAAAAATGCAGTTTTAATTATAAGCTTTTAAAAATGAACACTTCTATTATTTATATGTTGACAACAAATCCAGGTTTACTTATGAGTTTTTGAAAATGAATCCTTGTATTAATTATGGGTTGATGAAAAAATCCTGTATTAATTGTAACTCGCTCTTATAGATTTATAAAAAATTCGGTAATAATTATAAATTTATTATTACAAAATAATCACTGCTGTTAAATATAGCGCAAGTGAAATTAAATCCTTCTGTTTTTTTTTTAAATCTTATTTTAGTGAATTTGTTACGGACTGGAAGGGAGCCAGAATGTGTTTAGGTGAAGACAGAAAATGAGAGAGGGACATAGAGGGTAAAACAGAAAGAGCGTGGGGACGTAGAAAGACAGAAAGAGGGTGCAACACCGAGATGGACTGAAATAATTGTCCTCTTAGATAAAAGCAGTTGTCAAATCACCTAAAGATCTTAAATTCAATCTTAAAGTTAAATTGAAATTAAAATCTTTGTTTCTTTTTAAATCTTGAACTTGTTACAGCCTGAGGGAACCCAGGCAGTGTTAAGCAACTAAGATGGAAACAATAAAGAAAGAGGGACATAGAGAGTAAAGCAGAAAGTAAGAGAGAGAGAGAGAGAGAGAGAGAGTCATAGAGAGACAAAAAGCGAGCGCAACACACAGACGGATTTGATTTGGCATTTTATAGCAGTTTTCCAATGCAATTCTATAAATAAAAGATCTCTTCAAGATCCAGAGACGGATATGTAATCTAATTGGCCCTGATCTGGCGTCTAGTCTGCAGTCACACTCTCACAGACGCGCCGTCGCCTCTCTCTGTCTTTTCTACAAATACTTTCATGGTAATTGCACCGATGAGCTGCTTTCACTGGTTCCCAGACATCATGAATTCAAGCGCCCTACGAGGCTGGCATCGCGCTCCCACCCTTACACTATAGAAATTTTTAAATGTAGCCGCCTCTTCTACTCCAATAGCTTCATACCTCGCACCTCTCGCCTGTGGAACTCCCTTCCCAATTACTGTTTCCCTGAGAGCTATAATCTCAAACTATTCAAATGTAATGTCATTCGACGTCTCCAGTTACCTTGATCTACCCACTATCCCTCTCCTCATCCTTTCTTCTATCACTCCTATCTGCTCTTGCTCCAAATCTTCCGCAACCCCCTGCATCCTAGTGGCTTCACGCCTTGCTCGGGGCGTAATTCTTTAAAAAAAATCTCCCTATATAATAGCATCATCACATCGAGATTTCTTAGATAAAGCATTGCAATTATTATTTAATACCAAGACCTTTGTAAATTACGAGCTTACCGACACATCACGTTGAAATACCGGCTCCCGTAAAAAGTTAAGCAACATCGGGCCTGGTCCGTACCTAGTTGGGTGACCGCTTGAGAATACCAGCTGCTGTAAGCTTGGATGTGCTATGATGTAAAAGATTAATGTTTCGGAATTGTTAATAAGTGAGCTGACTTCAAATTCCCTTTGTGTTTGGAATATTCAAAAACGCGAAATTCGAAATCCGCTCTCTAATTCCTCAAACTGAGCCGCTATCCATTACTTTACGATGTACTCTCTCTCTTAAAAATACTAAAATGTCTAAAAATGTCATCAACAGATCGTTAGGTCACCATTTAACCCTATAATTTTAAGCCTATAAACAACTACCCATATTTTATGTATATTATTGATTGAAAGTTTTAAATTCTTCAGGCAAAGCATGCCCAAACAACTTGCTCCATCCTGAAGGCTAGCTATGTGCCCTTTCAAAAATGCCACAGTGCTGTGGATCCCAACGCGTACGTCGCCATGTGCAACCGGGATATGTGCTCCTGCTTGCTAACGAAAGGAGTTGCAGAATGCAGTCACCTGAATTGTGATGTCGGCCAGCAATACGCCAGGGCTTGCAACAAACATGGAGTCCATGTCAGTTGGCGATCGGATACTTTCTGTCGTGAGTAACAGTTGCTTTAAATGTTTTTGTATTATATATATATATATATATATATATATATATGTGTGTGTGTGTGTGTGTGTGTGTGTGTGTGTGTGTGTGTGTGTGTAAATATAAAAGTGAATATAGAAGTCAACACTTAGAGGCGACAGTCTGTTTCATGCTATATGCAATACTCAGGCCACGTGTTCTATTATTTTTCTCGGCTATTTATATATATACGGGTCAGTGCTGCATTGTGGGTAGTCTATTATAGCGGTTATTTTACCGGAAGTCGTTTATTTATTTATTTGGGTTAAATTATTTTGCTTGTTTTTATTTATTTTTATTTTTGCTAATAGACTACCCACAATGCACCACTGACCCGTATATATATAAATAGCCGAGAAAAATAACAGCACACGTGGCCTGAGGATTGCATATAGCATGAAACAGACTGTCGCCTCTAAGTGTTGACTTCTATGTTCACTTTTTTATTTACACACGCTCTATCTCTGATATTGAGCACTTTATCCCATAAATATAGCACACCTTAAGACTATATTTCTTCATATATATATATATATATATGTGTGTGTGTGTGTGTGTGTGTGTGTGTGTTTTTATTTTTGTCAGTAATGTTTTCAGGAATTCCTGACCTTTGACAATCCCTTTCTTCCTCATTTGAAATGCTTTTCTATAATAAATATTTATGTATTTTACATATAATAGCCTTATTCTGTCCGAATGCCTGTGTTAATTTCTGACCACATCTATTATGTATATACTCTTCAGTATTCTTTCTTTTTAAATATTTTAATAGGAGTAGATATGTTCTTTTATTAATACTTGCACCCCCTGAAGATGATCTCGGAAGAAGATCGAAAGTACTTTGGAAATAAAAGTGATTTTCATAGTTATAGCACATTTCTCACATCATTTAATTGCAATACACGGAAAGTTATTCGTCAGTATGAACGGATAATGTTAAAAATAAGCAGACATAATGTATTTAATTTATTTAATCAGATATGACTAAAGGAAATTTATCAGTAACGCTTGCATTAATAACTAACCACATACACTCTCTTTATTTGCAATGCATTTCTGTAATAAATTATTATACTTATGATAACAATATTCTGTTAATATTTCTTTAATACTTCACTGATGAGCTGCTTTCACTGGTTCCCACACTCCATGAATTCAAGCGCCCTACGAGGCTGGCATCCCGCTCCCACCCTTACACTGTAGAAACTTTTAAATGTAGCCGTCTCTTCTACTCCAATAGCTTCATACCTCGCACCTCTCGCCTGTGGAACACCCTTCCCTATTACTGTTTCCCTGAGAGTTATAATCTCCAACTATTCAAATGTAATGTCAATCGACACCTCCAATTACCTTGATCTACCCACTATCCCTCTCCTCATCCTTTCTTCTATCACTCCTATCTGCTCTCACTCCAAATCTTCCGCAACCCCCTGCATCCTAGTGGCTTCACGCATTGCTCGTTGCGTAATACTTAAAAAAAAAGTTGCCTGCATATTCTCATTCTTTCCCTTATCTGGACTGGAGCCATGGAAACTTCATATGTATTAGCAACTAAGTTTCTCCCATGTTTTTATATATATATATATATATATATATATATATATATATATATATATATATATATATATATATATATTATTTCTTGCAAACACGACTAAGATTACACACCACACAGTTCTCTAATCTTTTGCTTGTATCTTTTCTATCTGTCCCTTATCCCCAGAGCTGGAAACATGAAATTTTAGTATTTGACTATTTGTTTTATATTTTTCTCGTCAGCTTCACCTAAATGTCCAGTTAACATGGAATATAAAGAATGTAGTCGAAACTGTCGGAGATCTTGTGGATCTGATTCTTTTGAAACCGAATGTGAAGAATTTTGCGTTGATGGTTGTTTCTGTAAAAATGGTAGGTAATTCCTGACTTCTCGGGGTTTTTTTTTTTATTCTTAAATATATTTTGTTTTTAGTAAACCAATTTAGTGAATACCGTAATTCCCCATGTATAATATGCATTTTTTTCTAAAAAACTAATAAGCAAAATTGGGGGTGCGTATTATGCACACCTACAAAATTCTTTAAAAAATTGCCGTACCATAGGTTGATTTCAGTTGCTAAATGACTACTCATTACAAAAATATGACAATTTGACACTAACATTCGGCCCCATAAGAATGTCGAATACAATCATCAAACAATACTTACAAATGTAAAATAAAATAAGAATTATCATAAAACTAAATTAAAATAATATTATTCTTTGCTTAAAAACATTTTTGTGAAAAATTACATACAGATCCGGTAGATTGCACGTTATCGAACAAAAACAGAGTCTGCGCAGTAGGTACAATATAGGTATTTCCGTTTCCTTTTAGCATCGTCATGATCGGAAATTTTGATAAATATCTTCAATTTCAGCTTGAATAAGAGTAGGAAACGCTGGCCGTAATGAAATTGGAGACGTATAATTTATAGGGTTTGATTACCAAACAAGGGGTGCGTATTATGCATGAGTAGAAGCATTTCCCCACACTTTCAGTACAATTTTAGGTGCGCGTATTATGGATGTAGGCTTATTATACATGGGAAATTACGGTAATTGTACATTTAATGTTTCTATTCTGTTTACATTAATTCCTGATCGCCGACAAACCATTATTTTTCACTTGCAATGCATTTCTATAGTAATAGTTAATGTTATACATATTGTAGCTGTACTCTATTAGTTATACTTACATTTCTTTCTGACGACTAACAATCCCTTTCTGTCTTATTTTCAATGAATTTCTTTAGTAAATGTTTATCTGATGTAGATATAATAACCTTGTTCTGTCAGAAACATTTGCGTTAATACCTGACCACTGATAATTCTTTTCTCTTATTTACAATATATTTCGATAGTAAATATTTATTATATATAAAATGGCATTATTCGGCCAGCAATGTTTGCTTTAATTCTTGACCGCTGAAAATGCATTTTTAATTTGCAATGTATCCTATCATAAAATAGCTATCAATTTGGTGGTATCAGTGTATGTCTGTTGACTAGGCTCGCCAAACCCTGTTGCAGACGATAGCTTTCTGGTGCATTTGTCTGTGTTCTGCATCCACGGGGTCTACCTGTGGTTTATAATGCAACTTTGCTGAGCGTTTACAGCGTTACAGTTTCTGGGAGAGAAGTTATTTAGCGCGGGAAGGGATAACTCAATACCACTTACTCAATAACGCCGACTCAACACCACCGAATGAACGAATGAGCGACAGGACAACTCACGACTGAGACAACTTCAGGACTGAGACAACTCAGGACCGAAACAACACAGCACCAGAAAAACATAATTATTTTATAACTGAATAAAAGTAATTTATTAATGATTAAAACATTAATTAGTGAATATTTTTCTTCAAATAAGAGCTTTGTAAAGGCATTATATAAATATGAACTAGTTTTTTTGTGTTTAATTATTTTTAATAATTTTTTTAACCCCAACCCTACACACTGAAAACAGTGGAAATTTCGAATTTCAGTGCTGTTGTGTATCGACAATATTTGAATTTAGTGAAAAAAATAATTTTTATGCCACCTACCATGGAAATTATTGACAATAATAAGCGTGGCTCAAAAATAGGCTCCTGTCACTCGTAAAATTAAGTTGTAAGCTTTTTTTCCTGTGTCTTTTCCCCCGAGAGAAAATTGTGACTTTTTTCCAGTGACTTTATTACCGGCCAACTTTTAATGAGTCCTTGGCTAGATTCAACAAATTCACAGTTTCTTCCTCGTTATTTTAAAGATAATTTTTAAAATATGGCGACGAAAGGAACATTTGGAGGGATTGGCAAATGTGAAACATCGACATTATTCCTATCTTTTCGCAATCAGTTCATGGCTAAATGCAATGTTGCAGAATGGAAAGCATTACCATTTTATGATTCCTGCTATTACTGGTCCCATAAACAAAAGAGACTGAATCTTTCAAAAATCGCGCCACCTGTAATTCTCGTCAGGGGCGACAATCCAACAACGCAGAGCGGTATGCGTTCCGTTATTTTAAAAATCATTTCAAAGATATAGCTGATATTAATATTTTGAGGTGGCTCTTATGAGCAACAGTTTATTGAAGAAAAGCAAGCACTTGCAGGTGTTGCACAGGAATGCAAAAGGGAATATGAACAGGAATTATAATGGTTTATGAAGAAGAGACTTGAGGCAATAGAAATGTGTTTTCGCAGAAAGGTGCTGAGAATTCCAGAACATGGGAGCAACGGCGAAGATTTAGAAAAAATGGAAGCAAAAAGGACTCACATATTTAATATCTCGAAGAGACAGTTGAAATTTCTAAAGGCACATAATGAGGAAAGAGGGTTTTGAAAATGTGTTACTCACAAGACAAATTGAAGGCAAGAGGTACAGAGGAAATCAACGCAAAGCTTGTGCTTGAGTAAATAGGAACAGGATTTAGTTTGATAAAACAAAGAGAAAAGTTATTAAGAGCTACAAAAGACAGGAAATTATGGAGAGCCATGATCACCAACGTCATGAAGGGACACGGCATATAAAAGAAGACTATGGTTCATATATTTTTATGAAGTCGTAAATATAAAATTATTCTTGTAAATAAACAATCTAATCAAATAAATAGTGTTTCCTTTTGTAGTAAATTCTTAGAATGCATAAAACAAGAGAATGTATAAATACAGTCCATGTGCTTCGGTTTTATTAAAATTCTTAAAATAGCTTTCCCACTGTCGTAAAGTTACCTCTGGGCCTCTTCTATAAATATAGGGTGACCCCAAAAAATGGGAACTTTTTAACAATCCAATAAAACCAAGAGTGATGGAAAAAATATTTTATTCATAGTAATTGAAACCTTAAAACATGTCATTTAAGAAACAATGATGCAATTTTCATTTTTTAAAAACTACGTCCTGTAGATGGCGTCCACCTGTACGAATGCATTCTTGAAATCTGCTGTTGAGATTTCTCATTAACTGCTGCAACATCTCAGCTGGGATACTATGAATTTCATCTTGAATTCTCTGTTTTAACTCATCCAGAGTTCTTAGTCGAGTTATGTAAACACAGTATTCCATCATTGTTTCTTAAATGGCATGTTTTGAGATTTCAATTACTATGAATAAAATATTTTTCTTCCATCACTCTTGGTTTTATTTGATTGTTAAAAAGTTCCCGTTTTTTAGGGTCACCCTGTACTTTCATGGTAATTGTTCGAATGAGATCTTCGCTATGGTGCGTATGCGTTCTTCGTTATTTTAAAAATCATTTCAAAAACATAAACAGGAATTAGAATGGTTTATGAAGAAGAGACTCGAAGCAACAGAAATGTGGTTCTGACAAAAGATATTCCATGGATCGAGGATACCATGCAAAGAACATGTTAGCACCGACAAGGTTTTCGAGTAAATAGAAACAAAAAAGAAAATTATACTTAACAACAGTAAGAAACAATTGAAATTTCTGGGGTATGTAATGAGGAAAGAAGGCTTGAAAAATCTGATACACACAGGACGGATTGAGGGAAAGGACAGAGGAAAGAAGCGTGTAACATATTTGACGAGCTTAAGTAAATGGGGAGAAATAACAAAATGGCAAAAGGGGGTACGACACAAAAGAAAGAAAACGTAAAACACATGACTCTAACCTTAGTATATCTAACCTTAGAATCCCTATCCCTAACCCTGAAGACATCGTGAATAGCGGAAGTGTTGTTGGGGATCAACAGTGCTTGGATTTAATGAAAAATAATTTTGACACCTTCTGCGAGCGAAATTATTGACAATAATAAGCGTGCTTCAAAAATCTGCTAGAATGTGTTCATGTTCTACCAAACATGTCTCTCGTAAAAACAAATTGTGACTTTTTTCATATCGTTTCTTTTCTTAGCTAAAATAGTGACTTTTACTCTGACTTTTTTCTGTGACTTTTTCTGTTGCTTTTTTTCTGTGCCTTTTTCTGTTGTTTTTTTTTTTCTGTGCTTTTTTATTCAGTGACTTTATTACCAGTAACTAGAGCTCAATAATTCTGATAATTCTTCATGTTTACTTGGCAGGAACTCTCTGGGACTACGCCACATCGAGTTGTGTAGAGCGAAGTGAATGTTCTTGCTACCAAGCCGACAATACAGTAGCCTTTCCTCCAGGAACATATATAGATGTCGGCTGTGAATCTTGGTAAGTTTATTTTATTCAATTAATATTATTTCTTTTGCTATGTTTTTTTCTTTAAGATTGTGCCTATTACTTGACCGATACATCGAAACAAGCGACAATCTGAAAGTAATAAGCCTGAGGACTATGCCGTATATGGACCTTTATAGCCAAGACCTTCATATTCCTTTAGTAAGGAAGAAGTACCACTTGGACAGCTTATTTCTTGTGGAACACGCTCCTGAGAGGACACTTCTCTGATTACTACAATCTTAACCCTGTTCAAGTCTAGGGTCAACTGCTATCTATCCTACATATCCTCATAATCTACGCTTAATTCCTCCCCTTGCGTCTATGCTATAAACTCGTTCATTAACGCTCTAGCTTGAGTAGGTCTTGGGCCTTGTATTGGGTGAACAGTTAGTAACATGGCAATTCACAGGTAACAGAGCAAAGAACTTGCGGAGAGCCATGATCGCCTAAGTTCATGGCAATTACAATCTTGACCTCTTCAAGTCTAGGGTCAACCGTTATCTATCCTACATATCCTCATCATCAGCACTTATTTCCTCCTCTTGCGTCCTAACAACAATCTCTTTCAGTAACCCTCTACTTTGAGTGGCTCTTGGGCCTTGTATTGAGTGAACATTTAGTAACATGGCAATTCACAGATAATGAAGCAAAGAACTTATGGTGAGCCATGACCGCCTACGTTCATGGCAATTACAATCTTGACCCCTTTAAGTCTAGGGTCAACCGTTATCTCTCCTACTTATCCTCATAATTTAAATTTACTTCCTTCCCTTAGGTCTATACATCAACCTCAACTAGTAACCCTTTACCTTGAGTGGCACTTGGGCCATATATTGGGTGAACATTTAGAAAGAAAAAAAGAATGAAAGAAAAAGAAAAAGCTACTGTATTAATTTTAAATATTATTCATTATAAGGCACGTCACGCTACTAAAAATATCAAGATAATTTATCGTTGAAAATGCCTCAGCCATTTTCACTACAGAAAGCCAAAGGCGTAAACATTTAACATAAAAATGAGGGAAAAGTTGATATATTTCACTACAGAAGACCAAAAAGTAAGCATCTGACATAAAAATGAGGGAAAAGTTGATATTTTTCACTACAGAAGAGCAACACGTAAACATCTGATGTAAAAATTGAGGAAACATTGTTATTTTCTCCTACAAAAGATGAAAAACATAAGCATCTGAGATAATAAGGGGGGAAAAGTTGATATTTTTCACTACAGAAGACCAAACGCGCAAGAATCTGACTTAAAAATTGGGAAATGTTGATATTTTTCACTACAGAAGACCAAACGCGCAAGAATCTGACTTAAAAATTGGGAAAAGTTGATATTTTTCACTACAGAAGACCAAACGCGCAAGAATCTGACTTAAAAATTGGGAAAAGTTGATATTTTTTCACTACAGAAGAACAAACGCGCAAGAATCTGACTTAAAAATTGGGAAAAGTTGATATTTTTTCACTACAGAAGACCAAACGCGCAAGAATCTGACTTAAAAATTGGGAAAAGTTGATATTTTTACATAGAATAATTTTTGAAGATCAGAATTAGATACTCTTTTTATCTTATAGATTTCTATCTTTCTATTTTTTTTTTCTACAGCTTTTGCGGTGAGGCTGGTCGTTGGTCTTGCGTCCCGGATAATGATTGCCCCGCAGTGTGCTCCCTATCTGGCGACCCCCATTTTAAAACTTTCGACGGTCGCCAGTTCTTCTTCGAAGGCGAGTGCGAATATGTGCTTTCTCAGTTCCAGGGTAAGGAGAGCGGGACGCAGGCCTACTTTGCTGTCTGGATCGAAAACAAATACTGCAACAAAATTACCGATGGAGTGTGTACCAAAGTGATTACCCTAAAGTTGGGCAGAGACGAAAACCAGCAAATCGTCCGGTAAGTACCCGTCTTAAATTTCTAAAAAAAAAAAAATGCCCCTCCTTCCATATTCACCCGATTTCAAGATGAACTCAATCAACGCTTATCGTCTAGGCCACGTTAAATTTTTAAGCTATATATCTGTTCTTTTCGGATTGAAGACAATAGAATCTACAGTGAAACATATACATGCAATCAGAACAGGGTAAAGAGAATTATATTGTTACTTCTTACAGCCTGATGCCAGTCAAAGTTTCCTGCACAAGGCAATCATCAACAGACATACATTTTAAATTATTTGGATACAAGAGAGATCATCTTTCTTGTATCTATGGAATAGACAGAAATGCAAGAATAAAGACATTTATGGAATTATAATACGATCACATCGCTCTTATCACACATATAAAAAAAACTTGGAAATCATGTATAGCGGATCATTTGTAAAAAAGTAAATGCAGCATATCTACTCTTATGAAACGAAGTAAAAATAACAGGTATATGATATTTGGATGATTCAATGCACACACACACACACACACACACACACACATATATATATATATATATATATATATATATATGTGTGTGTGTGTGTATTAAAAAGAGAGGTACCGCAAACGTTTTTGGTTGTAATGTGGAATTTTTAAAAATAATATTATGCTTTATTTTCCATTATTTTACTACACGTGTTTCTTGTCTCGTGACCGTCTTCAGATAAAAGCGGAGATTTCCACATATTATTAAAATAATTTTTTTCTTTATGTTTTTCGATGTTAAATATTCTTGATATGAGACATTCTCTGTTTTTGTGTTAGTAATCCGAATGTCTACAGTGTGTTCATAAAGTTGGGTGCACTTTAAAAACATAACTTTATTTGTATTTGCGATAGAAACAATCTGTAAATAAATGTTAGAAACTTTAATGTACGTAGTTTTAAGTATAGCTAAAATAACTAATGTGATTTCAGGCATTACTGTAAATCAGTTGGCAAATGTTTTCCGTGAACTGCAAAATCGTATTACCTTTTGTATTGCTGATGATGGAGGACATGTGGAAACTTAAATAAAATTTCAATAAAACCTTAAAAAATACAGATTTACTTCTTTCTAATCCGTTTTACAAATTATTTCTATCGCAAATACAAATAAAGTTATAAATTTTTAAGTGCACACAAACTTTATGGACACCCTATATATATATATATATATATATATATATATATATATATATATATATATATATATATATATGTGTGTGTGTGTGTGTATGAATAAAAAACAAAATGAAAACTTACCTTAGCCGACGCGATTTGGCCTCTGATAAAAGTTCTTCAGACGACGGAACGTGTCGTCTAAGATACGTTTTCATTTTGTGTTTATTCATATTATGCTTTTACAGATTTTAACAATATCTGAAAATTAAACGCACGCACAAAACACACATGCACACACACACATAGACACAAACACATAGACACACACGCACACATATACACACACACATATATATATATATATATATATATATATATATATATATATATATATATATATATTCTTACCGAGAAATCGGATCCTGCACAGTATGTAAGAACAATTTGGTTTCTAACTTCTCATGATACCCTTTGCGAATAATTAAAAAAATCTCATTCTTACATTAATCATACACACAACACGCTATCACGTAGATTAACTTGTGACTTGTCAAAATTTAATGTAATTAAATAAAAAAGGTAAAACTTTTTATATAGAGAGTTATTAACGGCTTTATTTGGAGAATGACTAAATATGGAAGTTGCGACAAAAAGCAAAAGAAATTCGGTTGAACATATCTGTTAATCTCAGAAAGTATCTTTTTCTTTTTCCTTTTGCAGTATTCGTGGCTTCAAAGTGGAGCTAGATTCCATGCCCATCGGCATTCCTTACAAGGACGAAAATCTTGTGATAAGAAAAGTCTCGAGCATTCTCATACGTCTGACGACAACGTCTGGTGTGGATCTGATGTGGGACGGGCGTACAAGAATTTATCTGAAACTTGATCGAAGATACCGAGGAAAAGTAAGTAGGAAAGTTTAAGAAATATTTTTTCGAACTTCGCTATAGACAATCCTTCGATGCCTCACTTGCTATGACTTTCTATTGTAAAAAAAAAATCTGCCACTGACAATCGGGGTCTGCAATGTTTCCGATCTTCATCATCGGCCTTCCCAATATCATCAGTTCCCCAAGTCGTTACTGCCGTGACTACAACTTCAGCTTATCACCGTAACTGAAAATCACATGCTTTGCACCAAAGCACCGACGAGAACCCCCTCGCAGTCGGCCTTTCACCCAGTGAATGCGGAACAATTTCCACACAGATGTAAGTGGGGGCACGTAGTTTTGCAGATGGTACAACCAATTAATCTTGTCTTAGTAGCAAATCCTACACCCCCCCCATAAAGTAAACCTGGTAACTGCTCTCGAAAAGGACCTCCCATCGGTGGTTAACTGGGGCAAGAAATGGCTTGTAAATCTTAATGCTAAAATCTACTGCAAGGAAAGGCGTGTCACTGTTTTGTACCATAATGTTTTTCTCATCAGAATCCTTCTTAGACACTTATAAATCAACCATTCTTCCGTGCATTGAATTATGTTACCATACCCAGTCTGCTACTCCTGCTGCATATCTCGAGATTATTTTTAAAATCCACAGAAAATCCCTCAGTTTCTCACTTGCTATGATTTTCTATTATAAAATCATCTGTCACTGACAGTGGGGACCTACAATGTTTCTGATCTTCATCACCAGCCTTCCCGATATCATCAGTACCCAACGAGGTATTTATGCAGATGACACAATCATTTACTCTTGTCTTAGTAATAAGTCCGTCAGATCCAACAAATTAAATCTGGCAGCTGTTTTTGAAAATGACCTCCAATCAGTGGTTGACTGAGACAAGAAATGGTTTCTAAATTTTAAAAAATTGCTTTCATTTAATCACCATAGAGAACCTTTTCGGATTGATGCTAAATTTCAGAAGAGCAACACTTTCATCCTTTTTGGATTCACGTTTTCCATTGACATAAAGTGGAGAAATTATATTGAATCAATTGCTGTGTCTATTGTAAGAAAATTTGGTTCACTTTGTCATGCCAGAAAATTTTATTCTCGCCAGAATCTATCTTTTACATTTATAAATCTACCATTCGTCCGTGCATTGAATACTTTTGCCATATCTGGTCTGGTGTTCCTGCTGTACATCTCGTGATTCTTGACAAATTCCAAAGAAGAATTTGTAATGTAATCGATCCAGACCGGGCATCTCGATTTTAGTCATTTTCTCACCGAGCTGATGTGTTTTCCCTTTGTCTTTTCTACAAATGGCAACTGCTCTGATGAGCTTTTTTCCTGGTGTCTTGGCTACATAAATCTGAGCATGCTACTAGATTGGCGATTAGGTCTCACTGTTTTTACTGTTGAACTAGCTAGATGCAACCATCACTTCTATTCTAACAGTTACTTTCCCTGCATTTCTCACCTACAATATTAAAAAAATTAAATGCAATGTCAATCACCATCTTCTGTTTTTTCGGGGCCCCTGTTCCTTTATTGTCCTTTCCACACTCCTCCTCACTAAAGTCTTCTCTTTCACTCTCTGTAACCATCGACTTGCTTGGGGTAAAATGATTAAATATATATATATATATATATATATATATATATATATATATATATATATATATATCCAATGGTCCAATCATTCTCCAACTATTTGTAGGTTGCTGGAATGTGTGGAAACTTCAACTTGGATGTCAATGACGACAACTTGACTCCCAACGGTGAAAACGAATTTAACGTAACGAAATTTGCACTTGAATGGAAAACGAACACTGCATGCAATGGTAACCCCTCCACAGTTTATTTAGGCGCATGCGCATTGAGTAAGGAGTACGAAAATCACGCCCAACGGATTTGCAGCAGGTTTTGGACTGAAGGTAAATTCACGTTCTGTTAAAATAGATCCACCATTTCTTTTTGAAGAAAATATGAAATTAAACATTTACATCTGAAAATAAAAATGGTGTGTCAAAAGAGGGTGCTTTTTTGCTCTTGACATTCCTGTTACTGTATATTTCTCTCATTCTGTCTGGTTTAAAACTTGTTTTATCCGACAGAAAACTTTTGTTACCGATCAAACCTCGTAATTCTGAAGAGAAACGAATTTACTTCATTTTGATAAATGTTCCCTTATTCAAACTGGATTAAGACTTATTTGGTCAACACTCGTAATTTTTGGGGAAAAATTAACTTTTGATACCGGTTTAATTATTCTAATTGGTTTAAAACTTATTTGATCAACCCTCCGAATTTTGAAAACAAACTGACTTCATCTTATTATCAGTTTCATTATTGTAAACAGTTTAAAACTTATTTGATCAATCATCGTCATTCTAAAGACAAAATGACTTCTGATACCGGTTTCATTATTCTAACAGATTTAAAACTTATTTGATCAGCCCTCCATTTTTTGAAGACAAATTGACTTCATCATAATACCAGATTCATTATTTTAAACACTTTAAAACTTATTTGACCAACCCTCGTAATTCTGAAGGTAAATTGAACTTTGAACCTGGTTTCATAATTCTAACTAGTTTAAAACTTATTTGATTAACCCTCGGAATTTTGAAGACAAATTGATTCATTTTAATACCAGTTTCACTATTTTAAACAGTTTAAAACTTATTTGATCAATCATCGTAATTCTAAAGACAAATTGACTTTTGATACCGGTTTCATTATTGTAACAGATTTAAAACTTATTTGATCAGCCCTTGTCAGTATGAATACAAACTGACTTCATTTTTTTATACCAGATTCATTATTTTAAACAGTTTAAAACTTATTTGATCAATCGTCGTAATTCTGAAAACAAATTGACTTTTGATACCGATTTCGTTTATTCTAATTCATTCAAAACTTGTTTTATGGGACTGAAAACATTACTTATCAACCAACCCTAAATTCACACATACACGCTCAAACAATTCTAAATTGGTTGAGGGTGTATGTGTATGCTTGCGCCATGGGTTCAATTTAACATACGTCATTACAAAGAAAGCTGTTATCAAATGCTCAGTTTTTTTTCTCTTCACACAACTATTATTGTATTATCATGCTAATCTTTTTAATAAAACCCAGACATATGAAACTGAATATATGCATTTCATTTTTCCTCGAGAATTTTCAACAAAAGTATTAAACCCTGTTCTTGTAAATAAACACTCGATTAATGTTTGACTTTTTTTTGTCAATTCTTGAGAAAAATAGTATAAATCCGGATACTCGCAACCTAGTTTACCGAAAGTATGTGGCAAGAAAAAAAAAATGAAAGAAATGCCAGAAAATTTAAATGCGAGGCTCTTGGATTATAAAAATGACTTAGAGTACAAAAATATTTATCAACATAACTGATATAAAAGTGTTCATTATATTCTCTAAGATACAGATATTACATCCCTGAGATGGTCACCAACTTGAAGAGAACGGGCACGATCTCGCTCTATCATTTCAAACACGGTGAAGTTTAGCACAACAACCGGAATGGCTGCGATCTCTCTAAGACCGGTAATATGTAAATAAATAAATATACTGTTTAATAAATGAATAAAAACTGAAATGCGAGTATCCATTTAAAAAATAACGCTTAACAATTAAATTATATATATATATATATATATATATATATATATATATATATATATATATATATATATATATATATATATATATATATATAATTTAATTGCTTAATTAATAATTGCTTTAATTGATAATGTATTTTCTGTACCCAACACCAATATCAAGATACACCCACCTCACCTCACCTGTGATAGCCATAACATAATCTACTATTTAATCTGCACCTTATGTCCTAATAGTGGATACATTGGTGAATCTGGAAATAATTTTAGATTTCGCTTCAACAATCATAAACAAACTATACGTCAAAACAATCCTTATTCCCCCATAGCTGAACACTTTAATCAATCAGGACACTCATTAGAAAACTGTAAATGTTTATTGATAGATTCTGATTTCAGTTCCACATACACACGTAGAAAAAAAGAAAAAAACTGGATTTTATAATTAAATACATATAAACTGGGGTTAAATAAAGACTTGGATATTTTAAATCTTTATAAATATTTCAATAGTTAAACATTTTTTTAGATATAGTTAAAAAATTTTTTAATTTTTTTAAACAACATCTAAAATATTATTACAGTTAGATTTACGTTAGGAATATCCGAACAGTGACGTTCCATAACACGTGACGTCTCGCAACGGACGCTACTTGCTAACAAACAGTAATTTTAATTTATTTGTAACAAACAGTTATTTCTGAAGAAAGATTGAGGTCAATCTGAAATATCAAATATATATAAAAATAAATAAATACTTTCATAAAAAACATTATTATTTTTTAATTTGCAACTTTTCTCTCTCTCTCTCTCTCTCTCTATATATATATATATATATATATATATATATATATATATATATATAGTTGGATTGGTGTTAGTTTGTGACACTGGGTTTCACGCTATTTGCGATCGTCAGACAAACTGATTAATTTTTAAGTTTTGGGTTTATATATGGTTGTGTATATCGTTGTTTTATGGTAGTGGGAGGAGAAATTGTCGTCGGAACGCCACTGATACGTACACAAACATACATACACGAACGTTCGCTCATTGACGTACGCGGACATACATACACGCACGCTCACTCACTGCAGCTCACACAAACATAAACATATATGGACAGTTTGGGACTAGGCATATATGCGCATCCAGGTGCCGTTGCGTACATAAGTAGGCGATTGTTCGCTGTGTTCAGTGTTGGATTGTGTAGCGAACATCTTTCGTCAGTTGCGGTGTCAACACACAGACCTTTCGTCTATTTTGTTCGCTGAATGATGCTTTCTCGCACACAGGTATATACGGGTGCACAGGCGTTCACAAATCTCCTAGCCGTCTTCTTTCTTTCTTCTTTTTTTTTTCTTCTTTTTTTCTTGATTTTTTTAAATTTATGATGGGGTATGTATAAAACTATGGTAGGTAAAGTTGCTATTATTTTATAATTTTGTTTTTTTTTTCTTATGCAACAAACCAGTAATTAAGAGCCACTCAAAGCCTCCTGATCAGAGGCCTTGCTGTTGGATGTAATTTATCGTCTTATCCAGGATGTTCAGGCTTTGGATTCTGCTAATCTTAATCGAGTCTTGTGTTTCTCCGCACTATGTATTTCCAACTCTCTCATTGCAGATGTCATCCGGAGCTGCAACTCCATGGTGAACCCGACGAAATTCGTGGAACAATGCAAACACGATGTGTGTATGTGTGGA